TTCCATTATAAGAGGAAAGATGTGAACATTGTCCAGAGATACAAGGGTTGGGTAATGACCGAGAGCTTTTTCCTCCTGATCTTCCGAATCTGTATGGTTTAACCCCTTCATAAAAAGAACCACCGATCTGTTAGGGTAGACTCGAGCTGCCGACTCGATTGCACATAACATCAAGGATGGGAGTTGTAGCCTTTCACTGGTCTCCAGAAATATGATGCTATTTCCAGTACTCAGGATGTCTTCTGATGTGACTTTATTAGCATGTACCTCTTCTTCAAATGTCCCCACAGTCGTGCCACCATCTATCTGGTTTACAGATACAGTTTTATTTGCAGTTTCATGTTCAATGCTTTGTATAAAGATGTAGGAAAAGTAGGGAACATTGCTTCCTTTGTATGTGACCTTATACAGAAATCCAGCAGCTGTTATGAAAAGCATTAATAAAAATATCCTTAAGGCTTTTATCATTGTTACTGTATGTATATATCAATCTCCAAGAGAAAACCAAATAGATCTCAGCGATAACCTGAAAAACAATAACGACAAATAAATGAACACGTTTTGCTGTAATTTTTATAATACATAGACATAAGAACTTTAATAGTCCTAAATATAATTTTCAATATTAAAGTGAAACTAAACTCAGGAGTTAAATCTTAAAACTACATTCAAGTACCTCAACTATTAACAAGAATGTTAATCACTCGCTGTAGATCCTCAAATTCAAATTAATTCATTCTGACACTGTCCTTCCTTCTCAAGGGTGGCTAACTTTGTTCCCCATAGTTCTTGTGTGCATTTTTAAGATTTAACTCATGAGATTAGTGTTTATTAAAAATAGACAATATATTAATGAATTATACATTTATTAATTAAATTACATGAAATTGAATAATTAGTTAACTGATTTAATCATAAAAGCCTATCAAGTAACATGTAAATGCAAAAGTCTATAGGTAAGAGCATAAAAAATTAATATTTTGTAACTTACCAACTTCTTAGAAGTGGTGGCTGCATTATATTTTTGTTTTTTCCTTATTTGTTACCTGTTGATACTGCCAATAACATATCTGTAAAAAATTATTTAAGGCAACTGGACTTGCTGTATTTTTCTTGAAGGTTTTTTGCTGGTCACCCGACTAGCTTTCTCAATTCAGAATTGAGAAATCTAGTCGGATGACCAGCAAAACCTCTTCAAGAAAAATACAGCACGTCCAGTTGCCTTGATTTATTTTTTTTACAGATATACCATGACCTGGATGAATGAGAACCTTGACAAACATGCCAATAACATACCTCCTCCCCTATAATAATAAAGCTCAATCACTGTTCTGTATCTGTGGAGGAGCAGTGTAGATATTCTTTGGGCCCCACAACAATGATTGGGCCCTGGGCGACTGCCCCTTTTGCCCTGCGTTAAAGAGGGCCCTGGGTACCATACTATACAAATCCAGGTTCCCATCCCAGCTCAAGACCAGGCATGAATCTCCTGTCAGCTAAGAGGATACAGTGATTCTGGCTCACCTCACAAAAGTGGATGCAAGTTAACTGTTCATCGCAGAGAGAGAGGCTCCCACTGGTTAAAACATGTTACTTAATGCGTTTCACTGTTATTAACAGCTTGTGCGTCATAGACATTTATATATTTAGGGCATTGGCATGGGCATACACTAGCATACCACAACACATACTACACAAGAAAATGTACAAACTGTGGGAACCCAAAAAGGTTACAATGGCAGACAGGGCTGCAGTCTTAAACCCTTTCTTTACACACAGCCATGTGTTACTGACAACAACATAATATCTAAGTGTCTGCGTGATACCCCTAGAAGGCCTAGACTATAGCCTAAGATGGCCATGCAGAAATATATCATTGACAAAACTGCAGCTAACTCCAATTAATAGGAACAGCAAAGGCTCTACAGGTTTCATTCTCAATGTCGACAGCTCCACATGACCCTATGTCTTATAACTTTGGAGGTGCCTGTGTGGGGTGCATGCCCCTGCATTAGAGTTTTGAAACCAAGACTCCCCTCTTTCCATCCCTGTTTGGACCAATTATAAGAACAGTAGAGGTTGTTTGCTAGATTCATATTCAAGCAGTGGATACTGCAGGGATTGCCAAGCTTGAATGATGTTTCACATGATTGGAAGTCCTGTCAAGCTTGAACATTTCCCATCATTTTCGCAGTAAGTACTTTGGCATACTTGTATGTTTTAATTCCTAAAAGTAGTCATCTGTTGAAATATTCTGCTCTTCTTGCCAGTGTGTGAAACAGACGTTTACCACTGTATGCACACGGTTACAATATCTTAAAGAAAAAGCATTTAGCCCAAAGTGGGAAAACATGGCTGATAAGGCATTTGATATCAGTCATTTCCATTTAATGGCTCTAGATAATGAATTATACAGATTACTTGGTTCAATAAGAGTGCAAAGACTTTATAATTATGTAAACAGATTTGACTGTTATTATATACACAAAGGTGGGAACTTGCTGGAAATTACCCAGCAATACCAGAATTTTTGATCCATGGCATCAGAGGGGTAAGTGTTTGTGTGTGTGTATCCATCTGTATGCATTTATGTATGTGTATGCAGTCAGTGTCACTGAAATGGTATGTGCATGTGGCTCTCAGCTATCCACCATTCCAGTGACACTGACAATTACTGTAGGTGGCAGCCAGGTGCACTGTTAGTGTCATTGGAATGGTGGATAGCTGGGAGCCAGATGCACACACCATTTCCTAGACTCTAACAATGCCGTGACGCCATGGCCGGCTCCGCTCAGTTGTTATTGTTTAATGACAGTACAGCGTCCCCAGGTCATTTGGGGATGCTGAACTGTCATTACAACTGGGCGTAGCCAGTTGTGAGATCATAGCTGGCTCTGCCCAGCTGTCATTTAGAAATGCCTTTGGCTTGGCTGAGCCGCGCGGCCGCCTATGGCTTCTGTACAGGCTATTGTGAATAGCCTGTACGGCTGAACCGAAGGGCTCTGGCGGCAGAAGAGAGTAATGCAGGTATAAAATGTACTGCAACTTCCAACAGCCAAAAAATACACATCTGATTGGCCAGAGAACAGTCTCATGTCTGACTTAGTTTCGTTTTGAACGAAATTCGGACGGATCTGATTTTTCGTTAAAGCAGCATTCGGACTTGTTCAGGTTCAGAAATTTGAATGCATCCGAATGTCAGAATTTTACAAAATTTGTACGAATATCCATTCAGAACAAACAAAATGTACATGTCTATGTTAGACTTTAGTGCCTTGCTTTTACAGATGAATGCTTGCTCATTTGGACCAGCTAGGATGTAAAAACTGCTTACAGTGCAACTGAAGCCATTTTGTTTTAAAGTTTTGGATAGAGTGGATAGGGAATAGAGATGTGTATTGCTGTCTGTGTCCCTGTTAGGAATATTAGCCTTCTCTATCTGTCTTGGTGACTGTTGTGAAAGAAAACCCCACATTTTGAGCTGTCACCAACTCAAATGGATGGGAAATCTTCCAATTTGGACAGTGCTGACTATCAGGGATTTCCTTCAATTTGGAGGGATTTCCTCTCACTTCCTGTTGTGGCTATCAGACAGGAATTAAAATCTCCCCAATAGTACACAGATAAAAAAAAATACTGATGGGGGTGAGGTTATAACTCTCCATTACTCTATCCAAAACTGCAAAAAAAGAAAAGAGTTGGCTGCTGTTCTGCTTTAAATATTATGTTCATCTGAAATATATTTCCACTGACTTAAAATGTTTTAAAACAACTTTCACTGATGTACTTAAAAATGGTTCCTCAAACTTTAGCAACATATTTGCATTTTATATTTAAATATATAATATATACAGTTTTTCGTAGAAAAAAAAATATAAGACACTGTCTTATTTTCAGGAAAACACGGTATATATATTTATACTGCTCAGCTTGCTTCAGTGACCTGTCTATCCACTGGTGCTTAATTTTTGGGTGATGTACATGCTTTTACTAGAGCTCCATGCAGCTTAAGACTAGAAAGACTATACTGCACTAAAATACATCCAATACACTGTTTATTGGATGTCAGGACACCGAGGGGCATAAAATTGCTGCAGTGTAGGAGGAGACAGGCTGGAATTGGGCACATTGCGAGATACTTTGCTGTAGGTAAAGACAGCATGCACAGGAATTCTAAGTATCCCCAAACCACACCTAGAAGTAAGGAGTGTAGGAGAAGACAGGCTGGAATGAGCGATGTAACAGCCGTCCAGCTCTGAGGTTCGGGTAAGTATAACTTTTTTTATTTTTAGTCCAAGCAGTTAACCCTTGCAGTGTGTTCTTCTTTAAAGTTTGTTGTCCAGTGTCCATTGTGATATATTGTATAGGAAATAGAGGCTGTGGCTTTCGGATAATGTGGGAGAACAGCTCCTAGCATTGCAGGAAGGAATAGGTAATTTGACATACTAAGTTATGATAAGGGAAATCCACTGGTGGCCCAGTAACAATTCAGTAACAATATACCATAAACTCTGTTATCCGGTATTCAACTAACCAGGACTCTTATCTAGCCAGAAAAAAAAAAAATCCCCTGTGTACCAGGGACGTGCAGTCAGGGGAGGCAGGTGAGGGAGAGCCTCACCTAGAATTATGGAGGAAAAAATCTGTCAGCTTCATGTCTGAAGCTGACAGCTATTTCACCATTCAGATCGGCATCTAACAGGATACAGAGCAGGGAAATCCTCCACGATGTGTAACCTGTCATGGACGGAGCACCTCAGCAGTGAGGAGCAAGTGCGGGACAGGGAGGCTCCTCCTTGTCTCCTCCCTTCCTCCTTAACACTAGCTTGGGGACAGGTTGGGGGCGGGCTTTGTCCATCGGGGGATGGGGCTGGGGAATGCCTCACCCGGAGCAAGAGGTACCGCACATCACTGCTGTGTACTCACTGTGCTGCAAATCTACGGCATGTATTATCCTGGAAATGGTTGTGTGTCTATTTGTCTTAATTTGCTTTTGATTACTGAATATCAATATTAATATGAAAACAATACAGAGTTTATAGTATGAAATAGTAGGGGGTATGGCATTAGACCTATTTTTAATAGTAACTCTCAAGCAAACAGAAACTACATTTATCCGGAATCTATCTATCTCTGTAGATGCTGGATAGCGGGGAGTTTACTGTACATCAATATCCCTCAGCCATTTCCACTACATTTATAAGGAAAAGAACAACTAACCAATGTACCAGTAGACAACCTCTAAACTGGGCTATGAATATTTAGGACAAAAAACGCATTAAAAACTAGAAAAAAGACAAACAAAG